TGTGTGTGTGTGTGTGTGTGTGTGTGTGTGTGTGTGTGTGTGTGTGTGTGTGTGTGTGTGTGTGTGTGTGTGTGTGTGTGTGTGTGTGTGTGTGTGTGTGTGAGATTAGCAGCTTCTAGCGCGCGGTTTCTGTGAGTGTTCGCCTAGCGATCTGGCTCGTTTAAGGTCAAGAATGTTAGCAGACGTCAGGAGCCTCCGAGTCGTATGTTCGCGCTCGTGTTTCAGTTCTCGGTGAACCCTCTATACCTGGCTGAATTTAGGACATGGACAATACGCGTCTTGAGAGAGTAGGCATGGCGTGCCAATCTTTATCCGTTACTCAAACTTTACATTATAATCGTGCTGGAACAATCTGTAACGTGCCTTCGCAGCGACATTTATATATACGCACCGTGATTGTGAGAAACGCGAGATGTATAGATAAGAACGAATTGTGCACCGGCCGAGTGCATGGTTACAGGCAAAGAAAATGCAAGTTTTCTGCGCAAATTACCGAGCAGGGAGTAATTCTGTGAATTTCTACGATGTAAGGTTGGAGTGGTTTGTTCATATGTCTGCATGGTATGCGTTCATCAGACGACACCCAGCGCACACGCTTCTCGTGTATCGTTGCTCGTACTGTAGGTTAGATAGGCAAGAGTAACGCCCTCAAGCTAAGCGGGCCCGGCTTGTTCATTCAGAAAGGAACTGTTCGCATGAGTATACTGACGTGGCTTGAACGAAATGATGGATCCTCTTTACCTACCTTAACGTACGTTATACTGTAGGATGACACGCATTGCGCACGAGTTTGTTTTTTTACTTTCATCTTCTTGTTTTAATAGACAGCACAATTTACACAATAAAAAATAACGCGGGATGCAAGGATGATATTAATGCGACATCAGACCATCACAATGAAGATTCCCACACGATGGCGTTACGTAGAATAGACACAGATCTCGTGTTACTATGGTCGCCATATTTGCTATAACGCCGTGCATCAACAATGTATCCAACAAGAGAATGACTATAATCTGTCGCGTAGTTTGTTTTAACATTCTAATTCTAACGCTGTACATAAATACGGCGCCACCACGATGCGCAAACTGTCTGCATTTATCAGCTTTGCCAGTAGACCGGTCCTATATGTCTCTTCACTACTAGAGATACCAATGGCGACACGAATAGAGACAGATAACGTCGAATGTATAAATGTTGGTTATTCGCAAAATCCAAATAGAGAGTGCTAAACAGTACTTTTCGATATAAAGAAACTCTATGTATAATTATGTTAAAATGTCATGGCGTTCATTGACCTGGTAATGAATCGCAATTTTTTCATTCATTGCATATTTAGATAATACCATGTTGTTTACGACAAGTTATAAGTATAATTGATAAGAACTCTATATGTACTATTAAACTCTTGAATGGGCCAATTATTTGATTACTAGACTTTGTTCGCTTCCCTGATTGAGCTGTCGTTAGTCGTTGACTATCACAAAGTGAAGAAAAGAAACAAGAACGTATGAAGAAACAAAAAGAAATATAAAAAAATGGAGATGAGGAGACGAAATCTAGTGACAGGTTACCAGTCTCTTTTCGAAAGGGACACTCGTGCGCGCGCAAAGCGGTGGTGCTATATGTACTTACCAGCCTATACAATTCGCACTAACGTGGTATAAACAACATACATACTCTTGTTGGATGTGTTGCTAACGTATCTAATACAACTATCGGTATACGAATCTATACCATTTGCATGGAATTCGAATAAACAAACTTGTCACCGTATTATACAACACAACGTCAATACTAATCGGCTCCAAAATGGTTATTATGTAACCAGTTGCTTTAATTTAGACACATGGACTTGCGTATTAAATATTGGTCTGCCCGTGAAGATTACAAAATCACACTAAGGCCAAACTTAACTTAAAAAAACATACAACTATGACAGAGAATAGTTGCTTTCCAAACTTTTACGATATATTACACGTGTGGCAGTTGGTAGTAGCACTGTGGTGCGTGTACTGTTAAGGGTCCCATGCCTAAACCATGCTTTCGCAGTTGCAATAAGAAACTGCACAGCAAACAATCTAGGCAAGGTTGTCGCTCGCCTCTCCACGTCTGCCGCCAAACCGGATCTCATATGGTAGACGGCAGCACGTAGCTGCCCTGTGATTGGCTAAGCCGGTCGGCGGACTGTCGCATCGCCACCTAGCGTGCAAACGACGCCAATCGAATCGAGGCTGCGCTGGTGACGCCGTCTCTCTCTCTCTCTCTCTCTCTCTCTCTCTCTCTCTCCCTCTCTCCGCCGCTCTCTCTCTCTCTCCGCCGCTCTCTCTCTTTCCACCGCGCCTGCCCCGCTATATATCGTTCAGAATATACAATGATCGCTGTTGCAACGCCCTGCAGACTGTTACTCGTTCTTCACTCTGCTGTGCCGACTCTGCTTACGCTGCCGTCTCGCGTCTTCGACATCCGGGTCACCGGGTCGGCGCGGAATCCGCGACATGTTGTGTCTCTTGTTATATCTTTTGCATTTACAACTTTTCACCACCTTTATTTTGTACGATCGCTGCTCGCCCTTGTTGCAGAGCAGGTGGACTCGGCGACGCGACACCTTATCCTCCACACAGCGCCATTCCTTCGCCTTGTAGTTCGCCCACACTTTCTGTATCTGGGCGTACCAAGGCATCTTCTTCAACGAGAAGCAGTGGCCAGAACACACCACATCAGTCACTGGTTTAACAGACGTGCAATATCCATCGGATATGTACCTCTTTGAGCGCAACTCGTTGCAGCCAAAGTGCGACGTGTCCAAGTCACCTAGAACAGATAGAAATCGAGCGATTAAATGACGATCAAACTCACAGTAATAATGAACTTGCGCAAGCTGCTTATCGTCTGCATGTGTCTGGCACAATTGTCGTGGACAGTTCATTGCGCGCACAGATTTGGTATTCAGCAACTTGAACTGTCACAGTGCGTACATGGATCATGCGTTCATTCGACTATTGAGATATTCGCTGAGGATTGAGAGATGAACTTGCTATGTGCTCTACGGTATGAATCCGTCAGGACTTGCCAGCGTTCCGTACGTAAATAATCTATACACATCACAATGGTTAATTTTTGAAATAAATTAAAAAACTAAAAATTTAATTAAATTTAATTAAATTTTAAAATAAATTGTTAAACTATTGCCCACCGCGCTCGATCGAGTCAGGTAATAAGCGACTGTGGATTTTTCATAGAGACGCGTGGCGTATCAGGGGGTAGCAACTACAATCTACAATATATATATATATATATATATACAAACAATAAATATATCCAATATGGTACCGAATAGAGAGTATGTGAGCCGCAGAGTAATGTCACCCGCCAATATATATATATATATATACAAACAATAAATATATCCAATATGGTACCGAATAGAGAGTATGTGAGCCGCAGAGTAATGTCACCCGCCATATAAGTTTAGGTGTTTTTGAGAAAGCAGGCCGACCTGATCACGTTAGCCTACACAGGTGCATGCGTGGAGTATGCACGAAAACTTGTTCCGGCCATTGAATCCGCAGGATTATCCTCGGCGTGTATTATAACTGCAAACACGTATAAGCTCGCAGCAATATTAAGTCGTATAGAAGTTCTTTAACTCGCTTAGCACATGGCAAAGGGGGCGTTTCAGCGAGTTTAAACGTGGACGGACGCACACAAGGAATGCATTTATGCTGATTCGGGATAGGAGACACGTCGAGTTAAAATCTAGACGATTAAAAATGCGACGCTGAAGCAGCAGATGACAGAAATGTAAGCGAAGAGCTAAACAATTTGACGTCGGTGAGGAATGGAATGAGTACGGAAGGCAATTTTTTCAGAATAATTTCATAGAATTAGCAACAGTCTCCGATTTTCACAAGAAAACATGGCCGTAATAATCATACCGTATATTCGCCTTAATCACATCTCGGGCAAGAACGATTTTAAAAGCACATTGAACATTCTTCGGAAACAATGACTATCAATTGGGTAGCAATTTATATTTAATTCAGAATAGTTTTTCGTGAATCGTTTTATGCAAGTAATGAAACACGAATGTCAAATTTGTGAGCATTCCATCAACATTATATGCTCTGACAACTTGTAGGCTTGCACTTGTTACGCTAAAAACGTCACTTCCGGTTTAATAAAAAAAAAGTCATCACTTGATGCTTGAAATTTACGGCACACGTCAATAAAAATCCCACAATAAGGTATAGCAATCATCAGCACAGACAGTACTTGACATAATCCAATAGAGACGCACAACTCAGCAAGAAATCAATCATTTCGTTTGGGAAGCCTTTACGATAACCACCTGAAGGTGGGATGTAGGATGTAGTCGCCCGATCAATCACCGCTACACACATGCGCGGTAATTTCAACAAACAAACAAAGATGAACAATACATCAACAAACGCCGGAAACGATCCTAACCGCTATTCAACGTGCGGCTGGGATGGTCTCTTTGTAAAATAACTCTATAATAGTCTAATTTCCTTCGAATTTATGTTAATTTAATTGCACTGCTGTTGCACTAGCTGTCCATATTAAATACAATGAAATCCTAGCCAATGATCGATCGCTAAATGATGATACTGATGCTGCTGATGATACTGATGCTGCTGATACTGACGCTGCTGATGATACTGATGCTGCTGATGATACTGATGCTGCTGATGATACTGATGTTGCTGATGATACTGATGCTGCTGATGATACTGATGCTGCTGATGATACTGATGCTGCTGATGATACTGATGCTGCTGATGATACTGATGCTGCTGACGATACTGACGATGATGATGATCATGATGATGACGAGGAATACAGGCAAATACGACGAAAAGTTTCATAGGAGAATTAACACACCGCGCACGCGTGGACGTGAACACGCCTCTAATTTATAGGCGTTTCAGGAAGGATTGGACGCCATGTTTTCTCGGCGCCGTCAACGTACTTTTAACGCCTATGATGTAAATGCTACTTACAATGCATGCTGACTTAGTCTGCGTGGCAGCGATCTGCAGCGATATGACAGCTACGCATGGTCTATACCTGTATTCATAAAGACCGCGTCCCTGCGCGAGCGCTGCCAATCCTGGTGCATGTCGTCCATCGCGTACGCGCCATCTATACGCTAATGAACATTATTAGCTATCGGTCCACGACAAGGATATATGAGTACACGTCGCGTCGAACTAGTACGCACCGGAGATTTCACACTGAATCTAAAGTCACCACATGTTGAATAGGGCGTACGGAACGTCTATGTACGTGCACATACATTTATGTCATATATCATGTATTAATGTTATGTTTTATATATAGGTGTCCTATATAATGTCGTATATATACATTATTTAGTAATGCTCGGCTGATTGCAAGAGGCTAAGCACGCAACAACCTGGCATCACTGCGCCATTGTTTAGCGTCCTTGCGTCATAAATACGTCATTTTACAGCATCCATGCGTCATAAATACGTGATTGCGTACAGTCATCGCGGTATAGATGTGGCAATGTGCAACGTCATTGCGTCATAAATGCGTCATTATCACGACAGCCTCACGTCACAGATGCGTCATTATACGCCAACATTGCGTCATAGGGGCGTTATTATATAGCAACCTTGCGTCATAGCTGCGTCATTACACGGTAACCTTGCGTCATAGATGCGTCATTATACGGCAACCTTGCGTCATAGACTCGACTTTATATAGCAATCTTGCGTCATGGATGCGTCATTATACAGCATTCTTACGCAATAGACGCGATATTTCGCAGCATCTTACAGATATTATTATGCCGTATCCATATGTCGTCGAGTTTATTGTACATGTGCAACTGCTTATATATATATATATATATATATATATATATATATATATATATGCTATATATGTACTGCTACAGCATGAGCAACCCATGGACTTGACGTTACGCTGCGTCTTTGCGTCATGTTACTATGCAGCATGTCTGTATCATATATGTGTCATTATACTGCATTCCTGCGTGGTGGAGGCGTGACTATGCGTTATCCCTGCGTAATAAACCTGTCATTATATGCCGCACGTACGTACGCACCGCACGTCGTGTCACTCTATACAGCATGCTTGCGTCGTCGACGCATGGTTATAGCCTATATACGATTTAGACAGATATATCACCAAACACCATCACTCATAATACGTCATTAATTATCACATGCCCGCGAAATATTCTGTTGGGGCGCTAAAAATGCGACCGACGATAGACGAAAAAATGACTTTAGCTAGACGCTTCGCTTTTAAATTTAGTTGGGAACTAGTGAAGTAAAATAGAACCGGGCTGATTATGTCTATTTTTGGTGTACACCGTGTCCTCTTTTGGGCTTAAAATGGCGCGCGCGTTTCGAATTCCTTCTCGGCACGAAAACGCGCGTTGCGTTCAACGCGAACTTTGCGCGGCGATGCGGTACAGTAAGGGGAGCGGCTCGTGTACGCACGCACTCATACGCACGTACGTTAGAAACGGACGGACGAGCCCCCTCCACGGCCGCGATAAAGGTTTGATTGTTGAGCGAGCGGACTCGCAGCCCGGAACGGTCCGTGAGGTGCGTACGAAAGCGCAGCGCCCACACGTCAGCTATAGCACGAAAGACCTATTTATAGAAACGCGGGGATGCGAAAAAATAACATACGACGATGCTATACTATACGTCGCGTGTTGCGTGCTATCGCAATAAAGAATGCGAAAAAAAAGCATTCATCGTGACGTCACTAATGTTCCTGGAAGCATTCGGCGAGTTATTTCGTTATGGCTTTTGACGGTACTTCATATGTGTAAAGATGTCGTAAATTTTTCCTCGTTGATGATTCCGTCTCAAAGTCAGCCGCGTGGGCCTGCGGCTGGCTGTGTCTTCTGGTTGCGCGCATTCAAATGTTAGCACGGAGGTGTTAGATATCCACTAATAACGTTGTACACATTCATTTACATACAACATGATATGTCGTGACCTCTTCTAATCGAATCTTCAACGGTATATTATTCTCTAGATATTGAAGCAAAACCGTCGTGTTTAGTGCGTATATGCATTGTTTCGCTAAATATACTAAAAAGGATTGTTTCGTAAACCCCCAAAAAATTAGGTATAAAAATGGTAAATAAACAATTATTTAGAAACTACACGAAAAGCTGAACTACTTTATATACTTTTGCGTCTACTTTGATGACTTTGCCCTCATATAAATTGCATAAATTGTATTTTTAATAAATATGCAGATTTTCAACTTGCACAGCGAATATATCCATAAACTAATTATGCATGAAAAGAGCGGATGGGCTGGTTAGATTATTTATTTTTAGCTGCATTGACTTCTAATTAAACCCGCAATGATTAGACTGGGCTTTTATCCTTGCAGAGATCTTGCAGAGAAATAAAAGAAGAGGCAGAGCGAGTAAGGGAGAAAAGGGATAGGGAGAAGAAGATGGCGAGGAAGAGGGAGACCGACAGAGAGAAGAAGAAGCAGTGGGTTAGGAAGGGGAGCGGTAGAGTCTAGAGGTAGAGTCTGAGAAGGAAGAGGTAGAGGTAGAGTCTGTCTGAGAGTGAGAGGGCGAGTGAGAGTAAGAGGAAGAGGGAAAATGAGAAGAACTTGAGAGGAAGAGGGAGCTGATGAGGCAGAGGGAGAGATACGGAAAGGGAAGAGTGAGAAGGAGAGGGAGAGCGAGAGCGAGAGCGCGAACGAAAGGGAAGAGAAGAGGAAAAGGGAGACGGAGAGGTCGAGGAAGAAGGAGACGCCGG